AGATGTAACTCCTGACATATTTACCAAGTTTCGACTCGAAAGCTTCTAATCTGACCGAGCTATGCGTGAAACCTTCATCCATCCAGACACGGACAAACACCCAGAGATCATCCCTATTTTCTGGCACAAAATAGCGGTGGTGAATTATGTAGAAAATGAAAAAAATATCGATATTTCTTTTGTTCGGTAGAAAAATGAACATTATTAATTTATACAATATTTAACGTTACTCACCAACGGTTTAAATGATTTCAACAGATATTTTAAAGGTCTCAGTGCGTAAATGACCTCTTCCCTCCCCCCAAGACGTATGGACCATCTATTTAGATACTATATTTTTTTGAACAGAAATTTTAGACCCGTAGTTGTTGGCCAAGAAATTCGGATAAGGTGGCAAGATTTTCGATACTAGCTAGGTAGCTAGATCGAATTAAACCGCTATCTGTAGGAGAGTTTTAGCGGTCGACTGCTCTGATTGGTAGTTTTTCTTGGTTTCTTCGATCAAAACTAGACTAATCCCGGTACAGAATTGGGCCATGAACCTTCCGCTTCTCTTCTATTTCTCCCACTTCCTAGTCCATTCCTCACCCTTACTTATACACTTGCACTACACTACCACATTTGCCCGGAGCCTAGACCTTGTCCCGGCTGGAGCGGTGCCCCGCTGTTGCGAGATACCTGGTCAGGGAAAAACCCTGCAAGCCGATATCGTTCAGCGCCGACTTCGCCATCCATCGGAGATGCTCACCGCCATATTCAGTGATAAAAATATTCTCCACATTTATATAATGACCTTAGCAGTTTACGTGTGTATTTGAATGATCAAATAGATCAGGAAAAAGGGGCAATAAAGACAAAGACATTAGAACAAAAGAGTGTTGTAAAGAGAAGATCCAACTCAGTTTCAACATTAGTTTAGATCGTTGTCCTTTATTGCCTGTCTGAGTGAAGGCTATTTTGAACGTGTGCCTGATCCTATTCTGCTTGTTATTCAATTTTGAAGGTATTACCGTTATTTTGTAGAGTTCTTTTGCAATAGTTATATCATACTTAGTTTATAGTTAATTACATTAGTTTATATTTTGTCTTGGAATTTCCTTGCACTTAGTTGGAAGTATATGTAGTTTGGAGGTGATCAGTGTGCTGTTGTAGTTCGAGTGAGTCAAACCATAGTTAAAACATGAATATTTCAAAATTCATGCGGCTAATATCGATTCATCCACATGGCTTCGGGTATAGATTCACATCCTCCTAAGAACATGAGAGTTTCCTCCTTGTCCTTCCTTGTTTGTGGGGCTGGGGTTAGTTTTGCTTTCTATTTACCTGACAAGGGAGTCCGTAAACATGTTTAGGGTCTACAGTACGTGTTTCAAGCAACATCGTAATGAAGTGTTGAAACAACCTGTTACAGATGAAAGAAGACTTAACGAAAATAAAAAATAAACAAGTGTAATAATAAAAATCGAATAAAAGTTCTTTAAAACTTCTCCCGTCTTTGATGGTGCAATGATTATTATGCTGGACAACTGATCCCAAGTTCGCAGGCTCAAATCCGGCAAAGTCGGGGGATTTCTATGTCGACGACATGTATGCGGACGCTTTTCGGCATGTTAAACTGATCCCAGGAAAGTCTCTTGGCAGATACCAACAAAATGAAATTCCTTTAGTAATTTAGCACCAATTAGAGTTTCGATTTGAATTACTGGATAAGATTGCGATATTAAAAATTATTGCTATGATCAAAATATTGTAACATAGCCTGCGCTATCTTGTATTTAAATCAAACGTCAAAATTGGCGCACTAGAGCCCCCAGGGAATGCAATGGCAAACTATCCTAAGTATACTCTTCTCAGGATAAATCTCACAAAAAGGCGCTAGGGACTTCTGGAAACTAGCCTTTGCACCAATCAGTGCATGGTACGAAAATAAGAATAATTTAACTTAAATTAATTTTAAACCACACAAATTTTAAGATAATAAAAATAATTCAGTAAAACTATTTTTTACTTATTACGTTACTTACTGAAGTACGTAATGGTATTTGTGTATTTTTACTTTCTCAGTCTTGCTCTTTAGATAAACATGTCAAACAGAGTAAAACTTTATTCTTTATAATACATGCACAAGCCGTTTTTATTTGCACGAACCTATATCCGTTCGTGGTTGCATTCTGGGAACGTAGAGATGTTGACATTGTATTTGGAATTAAAGTTTTCTCTGTTTTTTAGGTTCATTCACGTCAGTCGTCTGTCCATTACATGTGTTGTTATTTAGTGACACGCGTTAATATAAGATTTTCAATTTCATTTTCACCTAGGTTCGTTTTGATTTGTTATATTAAGTATATTATAATATTTGGTCCGTTGAAATCCATTTATTTTGCAACAAATTCAAGTTTATTTATCATCTTTACGAATTGCCACTTCCTATGCTATTGATTTAACGCTTGGAGGTAAATGTTAATCTTCATTCATATGAAACATCAAACATGAGACGTCTTCTTACAGGAAGAAAGCGGATCGAAAAATCTGGTTTTGCTATATTCAGAATCGATCTAATTGACAGATGATATAAGTTATCGTTCTCGATGCATCTCTACTGGTTCTACTCTACACCAATGAACAGGAAGCAGACTTGTTTCTCTGACTGACTGTCATGCTACAGGAGATGTTGCAAACAGTGATGTCACGTAGTTTAACACCTGCGTTGTTCTGTTTTTGTGTAAACACGATCGATTGTTTTCTCCTAAAGGAAATAAGCAAAAAATGCACCATCACCCTGAAATATCAATATTGTGATAAAATGAATGTTATTTGAAGTGAGATAATTGCTACAAAGTTATCTTTGAAGTATTACGTGAAAAAATGGATGATTTAGAGCACAAACTTCTGTGGTGCACTGACGGTCATTTTTGAGTTAATATCAATTTGAAGGCCTCTCCTTCATTTCTACTTAGATATAAAGATTGTACGTCCATATTTGCTGGACACTTCCTTGCAGAGAGCAAATATTGTCGCTTCATGAATAGCTGCACGTTTGCAAATATTCAGACTTAGACTTCACAAAACTAGTAATTGTGGACATGCAATATGAGTGCACTGAGCAATCAAATTCGTTAATTACAAACTTGCACATTATTTTAAAATTAATATCACTGAATCTGACAGTATCGGAGGTGTACAAAATCAAAGAAATTCTCATTTTACAGGAGAAATGATGCATCGCTGAGCTACATGCTCAATACTATGAGTTAAATACATTTATAATATTTCATATTCTCGAGAATTTGTATCCAACCTCTTCAATAAGAAAGGCTAATGGATATTACTATACAGCTTCTCGTATATCCCTCGCATTCAATTGTTCAAATGAAATCATCACAAAATCCGAAACTGTTCAGGAGATATATGAAAGAAACATCTTTGATTAAACACTCCATATTCAAATTGTACTACGCAAGAGAGGAGACTTCCACTAGTATGCTTTGTTATGGCAAGTAGACATTTTTCACTGGATCTAAAACAGTAAATCATTGCCAAAGATCATCGTAACACTGCTCGAAGCCAGGAGACAGATGCGACAAGCGTGATAAAGCTAATGCCTCAAAGTGTCAGTTCGGTTCGTGAAGTTAGAGTTTAAGACTAGTTTTCAGGAATGATTATCAATATCGTCACTAAAATTAATATTGTAAGAATTGATACAAATCATGTCTATTAGTAGATGACAATATCAATGCGTGTAAATTAAGACATCAAACAAATGTAAACGGACGGGCGATAAATACTGAAATTTAGAGAGACTGCGATGTTAGCTTTCATATGCTTTCAAATAAATTCACAATAGACTACATTTCAATGAAGAATTATATCTGTAAAAAATATATATAACAAGGCAATTTTTAAAGTGCATTTTTGCATTCTGTCTATAAAAATACATCGATTTCATACAGTCTCCAGTTGGCGAAATGTCCCCCCCCCCCAAAGGAAAAAGGAACACGACAGCTTCAATACAATTTTGCCAATTTTTGCGAGATGAATGCGATTCATTTCTATGTTTTACTCATTGACCACAATCCCTAATGTGTGGTGATATCAACGAGTGTCAAAACATTACTCACATGGCTGAACACATTATAAAGAAAACAATTCCTCCCTGAGGAACATAACTGTTATCTGATTTAATTATAGTGACTCCTGACGTTTGATCATCTGGAACGGAGTTAGCCAATCGGGAGCTTCAAAATTAACCGCACACGCTTCCTGAGCCTTCTTTCGCAAGATGCGAGAGGACTGGGGGTTGGTTAATTCGACAACAGGTCTGTTATATCTATAGCTCGTAGCAAATAGTTTCTGATACACGGAAGCGAACATTTCTGATTAACAGATTCCGTCAATAACACTCATTGCTATAATTTATTTTGGGTTGAACTAATATTAGTAAAGGAGTAGAGGTATTACTCGCGCAACTTTTCTTGAACGATAAATTGAAGAAATGCGGGTAAAGTGGGGGTATTAGTTACGAAATCGCCCACTAGATTTTATAAAGCAATGCCAATCTCTGAAGAATCAGTCATGTCTTGGGAATGTTCTTAATAATTTGCATTCTAACTTTCTCAGGTGTTCGAGGTATCTCCTGTAATAGATCTTTACCTGCTTCGGTCATTTCTTTAGATTTTTGGAGAAAATAACGCACAGAAGTTCTCATCTCAAAAGAAAATTGTTTCTATTTCGCGCCAGTGAAGATGTGTTTGGAATGTTGTCATCAGTGCTTGCTGCGAGCTTTTGCCTTCATCTGTTTATTATGCTGGAGAGGGGGAAGCAAGGGCATCGTTCAAGAAAAGTAGCGCGAGTTATAGATATTCCGTGGCTCATGAAAACCTGCGCGAAAAACACCAAACCTTCAGTCCTAACGAAGCTTCCGATTGGTTAACCGCGTCCAACTGATCAAACGCCAGACGTCGCTGTAATGAAATGGGGCAATCCCGCGTTGCATGGCGTACCTCGACGAGTTCCGGGCGACGCGCGAAGCCCACGACGACCATGCCGGCCTTGGCGAGCGACGCCGCTATGGCGGCACCGATGCCGGCGCTCGCCCCGGTCACCACGGCCACACGGCCCTGCCAACGCTGCATCGCCGAGTCTTGGCTGTGACTGCTGCCGCCGCCGCCGGGCCCGCTCGCCAGGCTGATAGCACGACACGCCCGCCCGTCGGAGTGGGGGGCCCAAGGCTGTCCACTCTCCGGGCAGGGCAAGGTCCCGCGGTTGCCGGTGCAGTGCGATCGCCGCTGCCAGCTGTTACGCTGGGCGATGTTGCCGCTTCAGAGGCTGTCATCGGCTTTCGGTGATTCCATGATTCCAGTGGCGGATACTGATGGCGGTATCCCCCTCTCCCTAAATCTAACGTTCTGTGTAATTTTGCTTAATTTATTCATATCAATCATTTCATAACAATACCACTGTGTGTGTATGTATGTATGTATGTATATATATATATATATATATATATATATATATATATATATATATATATATATATATATATAATGATATGATAAAGTGTAGATATGAAAACGTAACATGCTTCAATGACTTTATATAAAAAGATGAGACATCATCTAATTCCGGGAGGTACCGTGCTGGGGGAGATACCTGGTGAGAGAAACCTTGATAGCGGCGCCGTGGCTCACATGGCAGCGTGGGTGGAACACCGCCACGAGACGTACATTATGCTTACGAGATGAATGGCATAGCAACTTAGAAACCCTAAATGCTCACTTGCACGGTTAAGCGAACTAGCAGCCGGAACAGGTGGTTGCTTACATGTAGGGGATTGTTGGCTTCTTTTTGTTGTCCCTTGTGTTATGGGCTTCAGCGATCTGCTTTTGTGGACTTTTAAGGCCACTTGTGGACTCTTGTACTCCTGGAAGATTTTAAAGCGAGACGGGTATTTGCATAAAACTGACTCATTTGTGTTTTCATTATAAGTGTTTTCTAACATATTTATCTTCATAGAATATTTTACAAAATACTTTTAATTCTTGTTCCAATAACTAATCTAGATTAGAAAGGTATTACGTACGTTGACACTAGATGATAATGCTCGTATTGCTTAAATACAAAGTTCACTCCCTGAGGAAGCCTGCGATAAGTCAGGCGAAACGTCGGCCTCTCAGCCAACGATGCGGCGTCTCCCAGAGAGCCAAGACTTTAATTTCAACAAATGCTTCAGGATTTTCTCGTGACAAATTACATTTTAAATTTAAATGTCTACATTTGAAAAATGAAATAGGTAATGAAAATAAAATATATATTTTTATTTATAGACAAATATTTATTTTTATCTTGTATTTGTAGTGAAACATGTTCATATCAGCAGCAATTTATTTTTGATCGTACACATTCAATTTTGATTGTACAAGCTTTTTTCTACCCATCGTTAGTATGCAAAACAACTCTCCGGGTCAGAAAAACATAAACAGAACAACCCTATAGTAAATTCAGTGTAGGATTAAGTGCTTTTTTATTTCAGAAATCTATTCCATATATAAAAAAGGGAATGTACGGATGTGCGTCGCTCACAGACGCAAAAACTACTCGACTGATTTCGCTGAATTTTTTACACTTTGTCCTTATTAGTAATGGAAGTGTTTAAAGAGTGGTTTGAATTAAATGGGACATGTGAGGGCGTTGTTGATGCATTATTTCGTTTATGCCGACTTGAGTGCTCCTGAACTCTACACTACCCGTCGCACAGTAAAGGATTAAGCACGTCTTCACTGTTTACAAGTATTCTACCCCTGTAATTATGAAATATCGGCCAGAATTATTACTTCAATCTTGTTAAGTAACTCGAATTTCTCCAAAATAGTCATAGCGTACGCATGCCCAAATTTGAGGCAGAACGTGTTAACAATAGGATACTTGACACCCATACGCAAACCAAGACAGAGAACAAACCCATACTTACGAGAAATCTATTAGTATTTTTTCACAGCTTAGCGTAACACGTGATCAACGATTACTTGACCAGTAGTGTTTGCACTGTAATCGCGAAGCACTGCCACTGGAACTGTTGTGAACGTTACGGAGGCGTATAGTTTAGTGTCTTCCCTTCCGGATGCAATGGAAAGTTCAGAATAACTGAGTACCTGTACTTTGATTTATTTATAGTGGCATTTGGCATTTAATCAGCTGTTACGGTGTCATACAATCGAGAAGTTCAACGTCCCCTTGAGACGTCACTGAAGTGTCGTTCAAACTCCCGACTGGATGGCACCTAAACAGCTGACTTTCGTAAAGTTACACTACAAATAAATCGAAATATAGAAGAGCGCATAAGCCGCAGCAATCCGGGCTAAGAAGTGAAAGAATCATAAAACAATGTAACAGAACTAAAACCTGTCTAAAAAGGTCTCATTTTGTAGGTGTATTATTTACAGTACATAACATGTGTGCCTTATAAAGACTCAAAACCCTTGAATTATGATGCGCATTCCTAGAAAATTATCAGTCTTGATCATAAATCGTCACTTAGATTCTTTTCCGTTTCCCCTTAAAGTTGTGGGGGCGCGACCGAACCCAAGGGTGCGACGTCTGAATGAATGGATCACAGCATCAGTGCACTCGAGGTGCGGTTTTGTTCCCATTCTCTTACGTGGGACTACGTGCAATGGACTCAATAGTCACGCTTTAGCTGGCTAGTATTTATCATGCACAGTGTGTGCTCGCAAGTCCCATCGTTGCCATGACGCACGTTACCACTTGACGAAAATACCACAGTGATTGTCCAAGGAGAAAAAAATCAAGCCCTAGTGTCGACAGTTTGTTTACACGGCAAGAACGCTAGTAAGGAAAGAAGCTAGAACTAAAAGACGATACCAAAAAACTGAAGGACTCTAACCAAATTCGACTGTCATACCCGCGCCCAGGATATCATGTTGGACTTCCGGGCTGATGAAGACATAAAGTAGCGAGAACGCAAGTAAAAAAAATCTTGAACTAAAACGATGAAAGCAAAAACTAAAAGAAGAACCCAATCCGAACCCGAAATAATTTATTCCTCCACTAGGACGTTATTTGAAATGGTTTTATGCTTAACTGGCAAAATGAGAAGTTAACTTTCACTTCATATTCGAGGAGATGAAGTTCTCGAGGCCTGTACGATTATTCATGCGGTGTTCCAGCTACGGGCCCAGCGAGGGACTCGTGTTGACTCTTCTCCAGCGCGTCACGTGACACGAGCGAATGATGGACAGCCGCGTCGCAGCCAATTTGAAAGTTTGCTCATTAGTCCACCTCGTTATTACTGGCCATCATATTGTCACCCAAGTGCGCCGTTTTCAGGAATGCGTAATTATTTGGCAAACGAAGGGTTTGCGACTTTTTTTTACTTGTAGTTTGTATTTGGATTCGCAAAAATCAGCATCTCGTTATTTGATTTAGTACATCGAATGATTTTTAGGAAATATAAAAATGTTTGTTAATCTGCAGTACACATTTTTTAAGTTTCGAGATAACAAGTCATAATAATATAAAAAAATAGAATAATTATTGGTGGATTTTCAGGGGAGAAGGGTGGAAAGTCGTTGTCACATATATTATTCTTCTGAAAATAATTACCAAATAAAATAATGATTTTTTAGCTGAGAAAATTATGTTTTTAGTGGATATTTAAGAGGAAAATTATTTTGATCGAATTAAAGGACGAGCGCTTTTTATGGACTCAATTACTATTTAATGGCTGTGAGGAGGAACGGCTAGCCTATCCTACCCCAATGTTAATCGTCCATAACTCAGAGCGCTGCTGCGGTCAGAAGAAGAATTATATTTAATGGTACTATGCGATTCACGGGAAAATATAGTTCTCTCTGGAGCTGATGTATACAGGTATTTCTTTCAACTACATCAGCGCACCAGGGGCTACAGATGATGACACTCGCCTTAAAAAGTCAGGAAAAACCTTCGATATGTGAGCAGAGCACCTAAAGCACAGTTTAATTTCACAACGTGCGCCGACGAAATGGAATACCGAACCGATAAATGCGTCTCTCTTATCCATGTACACGCATATAATCTATTGAGTTGTAGGTTTAATTTTAAGTATGTTATAACTAAGTTGTATGCAAGTTTTCATTCAATTGGCTTTGTTATCTTTATTCGTCCTACGAGCTGCCTCTGTAATATATCGAGTGTATTTGAATCGAACTTTCCAGGTCTATGCATACCTTAGTAAGTAGGTGAAGTTACAGTGAAAGGGTTGTGTCGCCACGCAGTATCTGGTACGAGAAAAGCGTGCCCAACTTAATATTAATAGCTAAGCCAACACTAGGTAGATTAATTGAAACTTACCTCACAGCCTAATACATAATGACATAATGTATTAGTATAAAGGGATATAACAAAACTTATTTTTTCATCATTTTTTATATTGGAATCGAGTATGAGAGAGATAGAATAAAATTAATAAATTTGAATTCACGCAATGAAGTTGCCGCATATGTATCGAAATTAAATTCCGTCATCTTTTTAATAATGAATATGCATTTTAATTATTGATTAATTGGAAAGGTTCTACATCGGCAGTCCTTTGAAAATAACATTTCAAATTTACATTGAATTCGGTTAGTAGGGTTACAATTTATTAATTCATTGACGTATAACGTTGATGGAGGTTTATAATGTACTACATACTTTCCAAGATAATAAATAGTAAACAGTCTGTGTTCGTTTTTCTCACATCACAATACTCTACGGTGCCTTGGAGAAATAAATAACCTTCCTTCGACCTTCAGCTCTATTTTTCTTTATTTTCCGCCTAGTACAAGAACATCTAAAGGGCGAAAATTCTAATGGAGATAAGGGAAAGGCGAGGGCGATAAAGAATAGCAGAAGGTGCGAGAAGGGGTGTATAAAAGAAAGATAAATGGTCGAGAGAGAAAGCCCAAGAGCGAACGCCCCAACTTTATTGGATCATAAATATTTTCTCAGGTAATATCTCTTTACAAGATTTTTTTTCTCTGTCGTAATAATGTATGTAATATGTACCGAAATAATTCATGTTCCGTTACCACATCAAAAACCTCCCACAAAGCGCGCTCTGCGTCTATTGAACAACGTGATGACTCTTCCCCTTTACGCCCTGCCGGTCAGATTGAGTCTGCTCCGTCCGCTAGGTGACGTTCTGTGCCGCGCCGGTAACTTCAGCAAAATTCTCGACATTGTTAGACGGCATGTTCCCAGAGCCGTGCTTGACTCTGTTAATTAAATTTTTGGAGACGCATGACCTGTCCGTCGTTTGACGTCGCCCACCACAAAATGTTCCCATCG